TGTAGTGTACCGGAAAAGACGCTCTCGAAATTATACAGAATACTTGTAGCTCGGGGTGTGGATGAGAGGTTGTCCTGTTCTCCGAGCTGGGCATTTCGGTTGCAGACGTTTCGTTGTCAAACTAGGCAACACGTTCAGTGCGGCTATTCAGTCCTGATTCGCGGTCTCGCAAACCAATGTCAGATCTGACATTGGTAACGAAACGTCTGCAACCGAAATGCCCAGCTCGGAGAACATGACAACCTCTCACGCTCTTTCAGTATTTTGCAACATTGGATTTTACCGTCGTTTTAACCTTCAAAACGTCCCCTTATTTTACTGACGGCACTTCCATTGACACAAATTACTTTGGTACGTATCTTGCAGCACTGTTTCTCGCTCTGGTTGACTCGCTTCCTATTTTTGTAGCCTGCCCAGTACACGTTGGGTTCAGTCGGCTCCAACTTCTATATTGCCCCATATTTGACACGTCTCTTACGTGTCATTGATTACCGACTAGTATCCCAGGCTCCACCAAAAAATTGGTGACCCCGGTCAAGAACACGCCGTCCGCCATTTTGAATTTGCATTTTCGTGAGCTCGTTCTAGTGACTTTTTGATTCATTACTCGCTATCGTTTTGTTTTCTCACTTGCCAAATATACTTATTCATTTCTCACGATGAATAGTCCTGATAATGGACCATCTACGTACGTGGTTAGTGAAGTAGAGCTAGCCGCCACACCTTTTTGGAAGTATGACTCGTTGTTATGGTTTGCGTACCTAGAATCCACTTTTTACAATTGTAGAATTTCTTCTGATAATGCTAAATATCATCAAGTTATGTCTCGGCTTCCGCAAAATGTATCCTCCCAGGTGAGAGAAATCATAGCTTGCCCTCCTCCCGATGCGAAATATGAGACTTTAAAGCATGCGATCATCCAGCGAATCTGCAGCTACGGAACAGGATGTCTTCACCCTTGTTGTGACAGATGCAACAGCTCCTAGGCACATGCAGCATGGAAGCTGGGATTCTCCGCGAAATGTGGATGCAACGTCTCCCGGAAAATATACAGGCCATTCTTGCCGTGGTAAGCGCCCTGACTCTCGCAGCAGTTGAAGAACTAGCAGACCGTGTCATCGAACGACATCACCCAACGAACGAATCCAGAACACTCACTCGACTCAGCCCCGCCGCAGCCCCAGCGACATCCGCGACAGCAATCCATGCTTTATCATCGCAAATAGCGTCACTACAACGCCAAGTCAAGAAACACTCCCTAGACCGTAAGCATCGCAGCCGCTCTAGCTCATCACCCCGTCGCATGAAGTGTAACAATTCAAGCTTTTTCTCTTACCACTCATGTGTTGGTAAGTGCGAGCAAACATGCAGTTTCTCCGCCGAGAAGCACGGAAACTTTCAGGCCGGCCCGTAATGGCGACTAACGGTGTCGGCAAAACCCATAGTCGTCTCATCTACATTAGGGATTATGATTCCGAGACCCAGTTCTTAGTTGGTGCTGAGGTGGAAGTCAGCGCCATTCCCCCTATGTCAGGTGAGCCTACCGCTTCTTTGTCGACAAGCCTCAGTGCTGCCAATGGCACGCCAATAGACACCTACGGTCATCGACCGCTTACCCTGGACCTAGGTCTTCGGCGAACGTTGCGCTGGGTATTCACCGTCGTTACAGTCCCCTTTGCCATCATCGGCATTGAGTTTCTCAGACATTTCGACCTCGTGGTAGATACGAAACGCCAGATGATAGTCGACACTGTAACGAAACTCAGTGAACGTGGCATCACCGCCGATATCGCATCTATAACACCGATCTACGCCTTTTCCCAGACCTCGCCAACCTCTTTTCTCAGTATCTCAAGCTCGTTCAACCAATGAACGCAGCTTTGTCCGTGGCACCCCAAGTCACGCATCACGTATGGACAAATGGCCCACTCGTCTCATTCCGTCCACGACGACTATCATCCGAGAAACTTAAGGTAGCTAGGGCGGAGTTTGAGCACATGCCCAAACTTGGAATAATCTGCCTTTCCGACAGCCCTTGGTCCGCTCCCCCTGCAGATGGTCACCAAATTTTTTGGTGACTGCCGGCCTTGCATGATTATCGTGTACACAATCGGCTAACCTTCCCAGATAGGTTACCCATCTCACACATGCAGGACCTTACCGCATGCCTCACGGGTAAGACGATCTTCACAAAGATCAATCTGGTTCGCGCCTATCACCAAATACCGGTAGAAGAAAATGGCATTCCTAAAACAGCCAGCATCAATCCTTTCGGCTTGCTTGGATTTTTAAGAATACTATTTGAACTGTGCAACGCCGCACAAACCTTCCAACACTTCATCCAAGATGTCACTCGTGGCCTAGACTTCGCTTATTCCTACCTCGATGATATTTTAGTAGCCAGTTCATCGGAACAAGAGCAAGTCGACCACCTTCGAACTCTCTTCCAGCGCTTGACCCAACACGGTGTCACAGTAAACCGACTAAGTGCGAACTCGGCAAATCAACGGTAGAATTCCTAGGCCAAGTCGTTTCATCGTCTGGCATCGAAGTCCTTCCTGGTAAAATCCAAGCAATCAAGGACTTCCCAGCTTCGACTTCGTTCTAGCACCTTGTCGATTTCGTGGTTTGGTCAACCACTATCGATGCTTCATTTCGCGCCGCGTTCAGCTCATGCAGCCTCTGAATGACCTACTCTGACGGAATGAACGCAAGTTCGCTTTCCCGGACACAGCACAGACAGCCTTCACCGAGCTCAAGGATCTGTAAGTGGTCCGCACAAATCGCACTGATGATGTCGTCTAGCCTGACGAGGAGAGGTTTGCAGCCAAATCAGCCAGCTCAGAGAACACCCGCATACTCCCAAGGATGCTATCTCCAACATAGCCCACCGCGCTCATTCTGAATCGACTGCACTCCTTTCTGTTACGAATGATGCCTCAGACTTCGCGGTAGGAGCTGTCCTCCAACAACACGTTGGTGGGCAATGGTAACCGCTTAGGTTCTTCTTCAAGCGCCTGCAGCCAGCGGAATCCCGCTACGCAAGTTTGGCAAAGAACTGCAGATGCAGGCTAAACGAATGGTGAACTACCTGAACCGTTTCCGTCCACGACTGGCCGATGTGATGGCATCCATTCGAAAATTGGTCCATAAGGGTGTTGCTTGGCATTGGCGCTCTGAACAAGAAAATGCCATTCGGAAGATCACAAAATAAATTACAAAAGCGCCTGTCCTTGCCAACTTTGGTCCGTCGCTTCCACTCGAGATTCAGTGTGACAGTAGCCAATACGGCATTAGAGCTGTGCTTATGCAAAACAGCAAGTCTGTCGATTTTCGCAGTCGCACGCACACAGAGGCCGAGGGGTCGTTCCGCACAAATTGAAAAGGAAATGCTGGCGCTGGTTTACGCCGTAGAACGCTTCAACGATTATACGTGCGGCCACAAAACAACTGTCTTCACTGACCACAAGTCACTTGTATCCATCGCTAGTAGGCCACTCAGTGTCGTTCCACGCCGCCTGCAAAGGGTGCTCGATCGTCTGCAGCAAAATGACTTGAATATAGTCTACCGACTAGGATCCCAGATGCACATTGCAGACATGTTGTCAAGGGCGCACCTGTCAGACGCCGGAAATGGAAGAAGACCCGGATTTGTCCAAGCAACACAGCTAATCGCTGTCACTTTGGAACGTTTGCAGCAGCTCCAACAGTGCACGGAGGGGGGACAAACAGTGCAGGCTACTGAGGCAGACGAGAATAGACGGATGGCCCGAAGACAAGAGAAAATTGTTCAAAGTGTTAAGTCCGTTCTTTCATTTTCGCGACGAACTCATCACCCAAGTGCAACAAGATAGTGGTTCCGAAGGCATTGCAACGTTCAATGCTGCAGATGATACACAATGCACATTTGGGAACCAAATTGCGTGGCAAGAGCACGTGAGCTGAGGTTCTGGCCAGAAATGACTAATCAAATACGTGATTACGTATCAAACTGTTTAACATGCAGGACACATGATGTGCGCCAGCCGAAAGAGTCGATGATGCTTCGTGACTTTCCGGATAGGCCCTGGCAGATGGTCACACTGGAGATTTTTGTTCACGACGGGATGAGCTACTTGATTGTCGTCGACTATTTCAGTGACTACTTCGAAAGTGATGCCCTTACGCCAACCTGCGCGCAAGTTACGGTGTCAATTCGCTCGGCATGGAATCCCCGATGTGGTGATTTCCGACAACGGGCCGCAATTCAGTAGTGCAGCATTCCGCACTTTTAGCAAGAAGTGGGATTTTCGGCATCGGCTCATTAGCCTGTACCACAGCCAATCAAATGGGAACGTTGAGTCGGCAGTGAAGGAGACGAAGAAAGTACTTACCAAAGCCAAGGAGACCCACGAGGATCCTTATATAATGCTGTTGGAGCGAAGAAACACGCCGTCTACCGAGATCTGCGACTATTCAGTCGCAGAACAAGAACGCTGCTACCGGCCGCTACAATGCTGCCACAGCCTGAGATAGCACCGGACGCTTCTGTGCACAACCGACTACAGAAAAGAATGCTAAAACAAAAGAAGTACTATGATCGTGGATCGAGATGCCTCCCACCCCTAGCTGTAGGAGAAGTATGGGTGCAACCAATACCAGATTCGAGAGAACGTTGGCGGAGAGATTAAGGGTCGCAGAGGTGAAAGGAGCTACGAAGTCAGGATAGGGAGAAATATCATAAGACGGAATCAGGTGCAAATTAGGAGAGTACGTAAAGGACGGACTCCGCAAAGCGCAGATCGGCAGTAGCAACAAGAAAGGATACCTGCAACCTCAGCGCGAGACAGCAAGCGTATGCGCATCGGAAAACCGTACGGAACTTATTGCAACAACATACTAAAAAAGAAAAAGTAAAGTGTGATGGTGACTGAAGGCTGGGGCGAAGGGAATCGCCTGCCTCAGTGTGGTCGATGAATTGGACGAGTGAGATTCCAAACACCCAGTTAATTATACATTACCTCAGACTGTGAATAGGACGCTTGTGTGCAGAGCCGGTGTGAGTTCTTTCTTTTGACGCGGCTAGGAGAACCAGGCACGCAACATCGCGCTGTTTCTGATTGTCTCACTGACGCCTGGTTTCCTGGGACCGATGGTGCGGATCAGCGGAAAGTGCTTGCGGTAACTACCTACTGCTCCTGCCTCCATTTCTTGAACCCGACTGATGCACCACGCTTCTTTGTCAGCTGGCAGGATCCGCTTTAGTTCCCGCCTAATAGTCCGTTTGATCACATTGTGTTCGGAGCCAGCTTGGAGTTTTCTTCTGAATCCCAACAGTGTAGTATAATTGGGCAGTCAGAGACAGACCAGAGTGAGGAATGAAGACCTAGGAAATGACGCTTTATTCGTCCGTGAATAGAGACGAGATCTAAAAGTATAACGGATAGGAGAAGTGTAGTGGCAATAACACATGCAAAGATGAATATTACATCCTACTCCAAGATGTTTGGAAAGAATCATGTAGTAAATATAGATTGTCATGTGGAGAAAGCGGTGTATGGAAACAGCGTTATAAACGATTTGTGACTTGTGGGTGGTAACATTTTACGCGAGAAAGGAGTGTGTTTAAGCCTCTCTGTTTTTAAGATACTACAGACGTACGTGCTGTTGAAGTGCCTTAAGTTCGCTCCTCGGGGAGGACGGCTCCGTAAAATTTGGTTGAGAATGGTCCTGATGCATGTCGGCTTCGGCACGTACGCAGACCTGGTCCTCTTCTCCGGGTATGATTGTTGTTTCTGGATCGAGGTTAATTTTATTATCGTACTCGAGCGGTTGATCGCCTTTGGGTGCCAGTTCTCGGATGGATACCGTCTCACCTCCCAATCTAAATTCGAACGTGTACGCATTGAGGGTTACACTCAATAAGTTGCACCCGTTCTACAAGAGGATCGAAGTTGGAGGACCGGAAGTTCTTCTTCAACAGGACCGGAGCAAGTGAAGACTGCCAGGTAGGAATAGAAAAGCCAGATGAATACCTCCGATTATGTTTGAAAAACCTATTGTGTGGGGTCACGTTTGTTGCAGTGTATAGAAGCGATCGAATCGAATGCAGTGCATCGAGTAGGATGATTTCCCATTGATCGACAGGAGGAGTACGGGAGTGTAGGGCGAGAGAAACGGCTCTCCACAATGTTCCATACAGGCGTTCGACTTGCCCATTAGCTTGCGGAGGATATGCGGTTGTTCGAATATTGTTTTCCCTTTGTTATGAAGATAGTCGCGCAGTTCACGGGACATAAAAGAGGAACCTCTATCTGAATGAATGTAGGCTAGCATACCGAACATCGAGAAGAGATGACAGAGGCAGCTTATCACAATAGATGTCAAATCGGAAAATACGAAAGCGAAGGGAAAACGAGGAAACGTCCACAATAGTTAACAAATAGCGATTTAGAGATTTCGAGGGAAGGGTTTTTAAAGTCAACATTGAGGGGTTCAAAAGGCTGTTGCTTTAACCAGCTGTCCCAAAGAGGGTCGAAGAAACCTCGGTTTCAAATCACAACGAACGGCACAACACAAAATCATAGATTTGATTTCAGAAACGGAATACTGTAGGCTTTTGGCGAGGATGAAATGAATCATGCGGATTGTGCCCGGGTGACACAAAGAATCATAAAGTTGTTTTAGGTTCAGACTGCCAGATGAGCTGCTGCAGCAGGTACGCGAGTGTGTCGGCTCTAGGATTGAACATACCGGGTCGGTACATAACATCGTAATAAAATGGCGCGAGTTCAAGCCACCAGCGAAGTAGTTTGTCGTTTCTAATTTTCGTCTGGTTCATACTGTGGTACATGAAAGCCACAAGGTTGATCGGTGACTGGCTTGAAGTAATTACCAAGTAGTAGCTGCCGCCATTTTCGCACTGCCTCAACAATCACGTAGGCTTCTAGTTACCACCGATAAATGGCGGTTCTCAATGGAAGATAACGTGAAGGAAAAGAAAGCTATCGGCCTTCCGTTGTTGTATAAGGTAGCTGAGATAGTTACGTCAGAAGCATCTGTTTCAACCACTAACGGTACATGAGGATCGGCAGTGGTTTCTCCTTCAAATCCTCAAAGGACTTTTGGACGAATAGTGGTATGGGAAATTGTGTTGTGAGCGAGTGGGTCAATGTTATCAGAGGAGTGTGGTATCCATTAGGAGCAGTAAGCAAACATCCCTGTCACTCTCCGTTGAGCCTTGATGTCAGTGAAAAAAGGCGATTCAATCGCCAGGGATAGGGCTTAATTATTCCTTTCGAAATTTCATGCCCTAGAAGTCTGACCTGCTTGGCTCCAAACACGCTTTTTGTGTCATTGAAAGTGGTGCCGTACTTTGAAACGACGTGCAGAAAGCGATCTAAATTTTGTCGACGTTCGATAGAGTTCTTTCCACAGACCGTCAATGTAGGTAAACGTATCGACCAAATTTTCGTTGGTTATTTCGTCAATGGTTCTTTGAAAACAGGAGACGCTATTCGTTACTCCGAAACGTATGCGACAGAATTGATAACGCTTGTCACAGGCCTCGAAAGCCGTATATAGACGTTCTTCAGGTTTCAATAGGAATTTGATGGTAAGTAAGTCTAACGTACTGAATGTTTCAAAAGTAGCAATTTTCTGGACCATTTCGTCCAAGTGAGGGAGTGGGTATGCATCAAGGTGTGTAAATCGATTTTTTATCGTTTGACTGTAATCTACGACCATTCGCCGTTTGTGTCTTTCGTTGGCAGTGACTAGTATCTGAGCACTCCATGGTGAAAAGGATGGCTTGGTGATGTTTTCCTGTAGGATATGGTTTATTTCGGAGCGAATGAAAGCCTCATCCTCGGGACTGTATCGTCTGGAATTTGTCCCTATTGGCTTGTACCCCGGTACGATGTTAAGGAAGAGTGACGGGGCTTCAATGTTAGCGCCATTGAGACTGCAAACACACAAAGGTGGTTCCTTGCCAACGAACGGAATCTTTAGTTTCTCGTGTAATTGAAGAAAATCGGGTCCGAGAAAGACATCTGAACGTAGATTATGTAACAGAAAAGCTGACGTTGGGGGGAGACGTCTTCGTTAGATTACTGTCATGTTGCAATGTCCACCGGTAAACATCTGCAGTTGGGTCGAAACCATGGATATGCACGCGCGAGACGGATTAATCTTCCAGTCCGCTTTCTGGACAATAACAGCAGAGAGGCAGCTTTCGGAGCTGCCAGTAACAATCAGCACTTCCAGGTCCGAACCATTAACCTGTATCTTGGTGACAGCCCGCGTTAAGCAAACAGGAGTAACTGCAATCGTTAAGTGAGAAATTAATGAAGTTGCCTGAGAATTACTGTTTTTGAATGTTAACCAAACTTACTCTTCTTCCCACAATCTGTACAAACGGCTTCCCAAGCCGTTCATTTGGTCCGTGGATGTCGAGTAAAACCGCAAAAGTAACACCTTTCGTTAGACGCAGCGGAAACATATGGTGGTAGTGAAAATGGAAGTTTGGCAATTTTGGGAAGTGACTCGGATTTGCTGGACGCTGATAGGCACGATTGGGAAATTACGGCATTTTGGTCAGACTATAAGTGTTAATGTGCCATTTTCAGTGACCTCACTAAGTCAAATGCGGTTTGAAGATTTAACGCATCGTGTTCCAGTAATTGTTGTTGTATCTGAGGAGAAAGTATCCCCGTGATGAAGGCGTCGCAAATAGCGCCATCGCGATTTTGCTTCACGCTGACTGCCTTGAAGTTGCAGTTTTTAGCAAAAATTTTGAGCCGCTGAATGAGTTGGTCTAAGTTAGAACCGTTTGCCTGTTTGCACGCAGCTAGAATGTGGGGCGCAAAAACTTCATTTTAGGCTTGATATATACGCTCACCAGTGCCCGAATAGCTGCACTGAAGTTGGTGCTCTCAGCAATATATTCGAAGACTGATGGAGCTATATAGTATACCAAGATTTTCCGTTAATCGGGATTGCAGGTTTCAATAGACTCAAGAAGTTACAAAAGGTATCGCTACCAGCAGTGAATCCACTGATTCTGTGCATCTGGAGCATTAGGGTCGGCGTCGAAACGTAACGGTCTGAGAAAACGTTCCACGGAGAATGATTCACAGACGATTAAATTGTATGACTGAGCGACCACAGACCAGAGAGTGAGGAACCAAGACCTGGGAAACCAGGTTTTATTCGTACGAATAGAGACGAAAGCTAAAAGAGTGACGGATAGGAGAAGTGTAGTGGCAATGACACATATGCAAAGATAAATAATATCACAAACAGGTTCACCGATATTTCGGACATCCAGAGACTGATGCAATGACGATTGATAGTGCCACAAGCAGATGCTCCGGCGTCGTGCATGACGGCCGAGATCCTATTCCAATGAAGCTCAGTGTCGTCAGAACAAGACGGCGAAAGTTCGGTACGTAGTGCGTCTTTATAGGCTTGTCTGACCGAGTTATGAGACAATTGCTTAGTTGTCAATCAGGGGAGAGGCTTGGTGCACCTCCCGATAAAGTTCATGGAGAAACGACAGCGTACCGAGGCATGATCAGAGTCGACGCAGGTACTCCAGTACTAGTGGCAATCCAGGATGGAACCGCACCACCTGTAAACTACGACAATGTGATCGATTTGGGTCCATCACTGGCCAGCTACAGGACGCCAAGTGGCACTTAGGCGCCCACTGTGTCTAAAAGCAGTGCTACTAAGGAACAACTGGTGCTCCGCACATAGTTGAAAAAGACGCTCGCCGTTGTCAGTCCGTTCGGAGTTAAGCCCGTAAATACCACCTGGCTGAGCTTCTTAGGAACTCAGACACCCTACTTGTGGGTTCATATCTCCTCTAAGTACTAGAATATCTGTACTGGTAGCACTGCATAGTAGCGCGTTCATTTCGTGATAGGACATGTCCTTGACAGCATCAAAACTGCAGCCGGTGGGAGCATAAGCAGGAAATCACAAACAAACAGCATTTTGTACTACTTCGTGAACCAACCTTAGTTGATGTGGTCAAACGG